GGCTTTGTCCTCATAATGAAATCCTTCATACTCTTGTCACCGTCTCTGCTCTCAGCTCCATGTGTCTCCACTAGAGGAGGAGTGTCATCCTCAGAGACCCACCGAGGCCCAGAGCCCTGATCACAACCATCTGATCCACCATCAGCTGGAATGATGTTTCTCACCAGTTCTTCTTCTCTAATCTTTTATTGGTGCAGTGACCTCAAAAGTTCATCTCAGCTTCTGCACAAACTCACAGCTATGGTGTTATTCCTTCTCTTCATACTGGCCATTATGAGAATAAATAAGTTTATCTGAAGCTAATCGAAGCTTTCAGGAGTCTGACTTGAGCCTTGATTATCCTCCAGTGCAGACATCCACGCACAACTAGTTGGTTTTATTATTTGGTTCTTTTTTACGTAGCAGGAGGTTTGCTTGGAGGAGTCTGCTGCAGACATGTGCAGCATAAAACTAAACTGCATATCCTGGAGACAAACAATTTAAGACATCACCTTGTTGGTCATCATAACTGATATTTTCAACTGTTTTCTGTCATTTTATAGACACACCATTCTTCAAAGTCACCAGCAGCTTATTTGATGACACGTTTAAGGTTGGTTGCAGCCCTGAAGTTGTGATGAACTCGAACCAGCCAAGTGTTAAAGAACAGACAATCGCAACAAGAAACACAACAAACTCATCCTTTTACTGAAGTTCTGTAAAAATACAACCTGATTCATGTTTTGTATTTATTCTCTAATCTCGTCCTTTAGCCTCTTGTTTCATGGTACAGACACTTAAATGACTTGATGTTTCCATGTCCACCAGTCAGACTTGTATTCCCTCACTGTGAAGCACTGTGTAAACCTGTTGCGGTGGTTGAAAGTGAAAGTAAAATAAAGATTATCATGACCATTGTTTTAGAATACTGCACCAAAGACCATAAGAGAGCTGCAGACCATCACAGCTCAATGAATACTTAACACACGTGACCCGTTTCTTTGCGTGGCCTGTTAGAGCAGTAGAGAGCCATGGACATCTGCTCTGCTCAGTTTAAATCTACCGGAAGCTACAGGAGTGAAACAGACTCAGACTAAAGCAGAAAGACTCTCTGCAGCTCCTGAAAGTCGACTCCAGCTCCAGTGAAAAGTCAGCTAAGCCCATGTTTTGGAGCTATATACGTCATCGTTGACATGTTGAGGTTTATATTAGCAGCGACTCGCTAACTCTGAGGCATCTTCAATGAGAGAACATGTTTAAATAGTAAACAGAGTCTACAGGGAACGTCTGTGAGCTCGGTTGGTCGCCTACGTCTGAAAGAGAAAGTCTGGCTCCAGCACTTGTCCTCCTTTGCCAAAAATAACATGCAGCTCTTGACCATCTGTGTCTGCTTCACCAGCTTCTCCAATTAAGGCTGAAATGAGGATTAGCAGCAAACGATGCAGCCCTTCTCTGGTACAGGAAGCAAAATCAAGTTTGATTTACGATTAACCGTGACCCGTGGGAATTAAGTGGAAAAGAAGTTGGTCATCCTAAAGTGGAAGGATGTAAAGCAGCATTGACTGGGGTCACGCCAGATAACACAGGACGCTGGGGTCGAATAAATCCTATCCTGCTCGTTATGCTGTAGTTATTATGGCTAACGGTAAAGCCTGACTGCCAACTACATCTGATGCCAGGAGTATTGATAAAACATCTGCTGTGTTCAGGTGACTGGCATGACATCAGTATAATACAGATCACTGGTGGTCATATATGTCACGCTAACCTTGACATCTCCACACCTGGATGAGCCCATGAGATGCAGGTAAGGGAACCACAGGATATGATGTGGCTGTTTCCGATGTCAAGGCGGAACTGGATTTACTGAGTCATAAAACAAAGTCACACGATGAGGAAATTGTGAAATCTGTGGTATTTCAGATTCGGTCACTTTGTGCTGAGTGATCATGAGACAGAGTGAACCGGCCTCTTCACCAACATGTTCTTCTGTGGTGCTTCTTTCCTTCACAGCTATTTTATAACCGTGAAGCTGAATAACATTCATGAAGTCCTTCACTGGCAGTATTCTGTTTTTGTGACCTGATAACCAGTTTGCATCTAGTTGCTTTTACTTTATCAAAAACACTGGCTCACAATGTTGGTATATTTTACCAACATTTTAAGATGTTGGTATATTTTACCTCATTACCACACAGTTTTGTTCAGCTTTGTATGAGAGACTACGGCCCATAGTGGTCAGCATGGGGAAGTGCATGCTTTACAGATGAAACTTCACCGCAGTGGGTGACAGAGTGAGCTTGTCAGCTTTATGCTGTCCAGTTTAGTGGTGTATGTGATGACAGGGCCGATGATACATGATGAGAAATAAAAGTTTAAACAGCTGTGATGAAAACTGACAACCTACTGACTGCATGAAGCCGATCCTCTGACAAACGTTTAGTTTCAGTTTAATTTTTATTGTGGTAGGCTGCAGCCCAGAGCTGCTTGTTGTTGTTGTTGTTGTTGTCATCCATTTGCGTGTCCACACAGGAGCATAGACAAACTGTAATACAGTACATGCTGGAGAACATCACGAATCACTCCATTTGACATTCTGTCATTTTGACAGTTCCCCATTTCTAGATTAAAACTGACAACATGTTGTATCCTCAGAAACACTTTAAGCTAAAACACACTAAACCAACCATCTAACCTACCGTGTTTAAAGGGTCACTCTGCTTTCTACCACCGTTTGATCCCTAGTGCAACAATAACTGTGAGCAGGTTGTTTTTATATACATATGGCAGTACAACAAACAGAACAGAGTGTTTGCTTCATGTTAGTATGAGCTGATGTGTCTCACCGATGATAACGAAGCCTCCATCTACTTCCTTGTCGGCTGCTGCCTTCTTCGAGTCCTTGCGGGATCCAAGGAAACTGAACATGATGATCCTGTGTCAACAGAAGAAACCAAAGGTCACTGCAAACATCACATGAGCTGCTAGCATTCACTTTATCACACTGAAGCGTCACTAAAACGAACAGATCAGTGACATTCAGTGTTCAGCTGTTAGATGACAGACATGTTTAGCCGCTGGAATGACTTCAGTTGGAGGTTTTTTCTCAAACCTGATCCAAGGACAAAAAGGGATCGTACGTCAAAAATTGACTGCTGTCTAATAATTAGACCTGTAACAGCCAGTTTATATCAGTATACTGCTGCTCTAATCTAGGTAACATACTGATAAAATGCAACCACACAGACTTTAATCAAAGTGGTGACAGGTGTGTTGCTGTGACTTGAATCCTAGAAGTGTCAGGAAAGAGCAACTGATCTTCTTTTGAAGTTCTTGAAGAGCAACTGGAGTTCCTTTTTAAGTTCTTGAAGACACTACACCTCTGATCTTCAGTTCTACCTGACTGGTGAGGATGTCTATAGTCACTCTAGCTCACATGGCTGATGCTCACTAACCGCCCAGGGCTCACACGCCTCCATGAATGAATGTTCACATGTTGTTCCCCTTAAAGAGCTCAGTGCTCTGCTCTTCACATCTTCCATGGGGTTGGTCCAATGGGTGATACCAGAGAGCTTCTGTCTGTAGCAACCTTCACCCTGTTTGTAGTAGGTGGTGGTCAGGCAGATGTCCAGCAGGGCGTCTGGCTGAGGGGGAAGTTGGTCCTATCGCTGAGTGAGCTTCAGGAGTTTGTGTCTCCACTGCCTCAGATGTGGGTATGCATGTACAAAGTGAAGTGACATCAAGTCAAACCATGGTAAGATGGTACTGAGGTGTTCTGCAGAGCTGAAAGAGTTAATGCTGCTAATCATGAGTCAGAATGGAGAGTCCAAACATGCACGGTGTCACCTCCGGGATACAACCAGCAGTATGATGGACAGTCTGTGGCTTCAGCAGTCCATGACCTTCATGTTGTCACAGCTTGTGGGCTCTGGACCTCATGGGCGGTTCTGTCACTGACTAACACTGGTATTCTAGGTAGCAGTTGGCTGTGTGGAGTCCTAGTGTGCATCGTCCTCTGTTGGCAGGTGGGACAGTGATACTCTGGTCTTTGCTCAGTGAAGCTACTGCCCTCCTCTCCTGGATGTGAGGTCAGCAGGCGTTAAAGCACCAGAGTGTTCTGCTGTAGCCTCCAACCTGACAGGTTCTGCTGCAAGAGTACCTGGCTGCAGACAGACTGTTGTTTCTAACGGCTGACATGAGGTCCACTGCTGCTGACTGACAAGGTTCTGCTGGACACGGATAGAAACTGGCCCGTTTCATCTGACCTCATCACCGATGGAAATAAATAAACAAAATAATGTCCTCTTGGTCGGAACATTTAAACCTCATCACAGAGTTCCTGTTTCGTTGTGTATATGACAGCCGGAGGTATTTAATCTGTTCTCTAATTGATGATTATATTTATGTTTTTATGGATGGATTTGATCGCCCCTTTGCTTTTAATGTAGCTAATTAATGACTGTGTTTATGTTCTGTGGACTGATTGTATCTGTCTTAACTACCTGGGCTATGAACGGTGCTGTCCAGATAACCCTGCCCTGGCTTTCCGCTGTGGCTGCAGATCCTCGTTAACATCAACACCCGCTCCGTCTCTACAGAGCACAACCGCCTCTCACTGTCTCGGCTCGGTAAGTTCTGGCTCGGTCCTGAAGTCAGTTCATCGTTCTCTACTACCGGTTAGTTTAACGACATTAGCTCCTCGGTGTTAGCTTCGCTCGGCTACCGAACACCGCGGAGGAGAACCTGGTAAATGTTTCGCTGTTCCGCTCTCCGCTATAACCGTGTTATTATGACGCTGCCGTCTCGGTGAGGTCCGTGTAGAAACTACACACGTCCCCCAGAGTTCCTCTCCCCGGTTCGTGTGGTCCACACGTAGCGGAACTGTTGGTTGGTGTTTCTGGGGAAGATAATATCCGACCACAGCGGATGTGTCGCGGCACAAGCAGGGAGCGTTTGATTTTTCTCCCTGTTAGCCGCTGTTAGCCGCGGTTTTTCAACGTAAACGTACAAACTCCGCCCACGCAGGCTACCCCGTGATAGAAATCGTGTAACCGAACGTTTCCCGCGCCGTGACACAGTGCTCCGAGCCCAGTAGCGCCAAACAGCAGCGGCAAGATGGCAGGAGTTCTGGACGTCCCCAAGCCCCGAATCAACACCTCCATGCTGTCGCAGCACATCAGCCGGCCCGTGTGCTTCGTGGGACGCGTAGAAAAGGTCCGTCCGGTTTACAGCTCGACCTCCGCCGTCAGCGACAAACAAACAGACAAACAAACAAACGTCTGCTTTCTGCTCTTCCAGGTTCAGCCGACAGGAAAAACGTTCACGGTGTCGGATGGAGAAGGAAAGAGTGCCACGGTGGAACTGAACGAACCCGTGAGTACCGAGACTCGGTCACACAGAGGTCCAGGAGGCCTGGGCTGGTCAGTCAGAAATGTTCTGGTCTCTCGAGTCGTTCTGTGCAAATATTAAAAGATTTAATGAAACATTCTCGTAGTTTAATTAACTGGACTGAAGAAGCAGAACCAGCAGTGGAGGTGAAGGTAAGCTCCTGTTTACATCCATACATTCTGGATCCTACATTTCCCAGAACACACCTGAAACGTGCTGGTCCATGTTACCTGTTGAGCTTGTTTCTGGAAACTTCTAGAAACTCAAGCAAGTCCAGTTAATTAACCTACGAGAACATCCCAGACCTGGAGGACTGAGAGCCTTCAGATGTTAAAGGAGAAACAGCGTCTCAGCTGTTGCATTAGATGTCAGTTAATGAATTAATTACCTGCGGTTTAGGAATCAATCGGGTTGAGAACAAAGTCTGAATTCTCTGTTTGCAGCTGAAGCTTAAATACTTTGTGGTTGAGTCCCACTCTGTGATGGTGTTCTGGTTGTCTCGGGGTTGTGGACTGAACAGGACATCTTGGACTGACATTTTAAAGGAGATAATCAGTGGCAACCCTACCCACGTTAAACCAGAACCAGCTGGTTTTCATTGGCTCTCTCAGCCCGTGTCACTGTGCTGCAGGCTGACCCACCAGATATTCCCTCATCTGGTGTGTCTCTGCTGGTGGTGGAAATCCCTGTCCAACACGTCGATCCAGACCCTGTGCAGACCCCAGTACAGGGCTCACATCACTGTCAGTGACTCCTCTGATAGGTGGACTCAGAGCATGCCAGCCACAGGACCACAACCAGAATCCTTTAATGTCTTTATACCAAAAAAAGTACAACGAAATTGGGTCCAATCCCCTTCAGTGCAAAGAACAACTATACATTAACAAACTGTGCAAGATAAAAAAAAAAAAAAACAGACGTTTGTGAAGCCTATAGATGCATATAAATAAATAAATAAGTGACAGTAGGTATGAAATGGATGTAGAAATGTGTGTATTTACAACAGCAGTGAGGAGCGGAGGCACCTGTGGTAGATTAAACCTGAGAACATGTGACACACTGCAAACAGAGAGAATACTTGAGTGGAGTCACAGGACCGGTGGTGGGAATGGACCATACCAGTGTTTGTGGGAGTTCAGAGCGGTTCTGGCTCTGGGTTTTAGTCTGTTGATTTTTGTCCTGATGCACCTGTAGCGCCTGGCTGAGGGCGACAGGTCACACATGGGGACCCAGGATGATGTGAGCTGCTCCTGAGGATGTTTCTTGCCCTGCTGAGGCAGCAGGAGGTGCAACAAAGCCATTAGATCTCTGCATTCTGCCCAGTAGCCAGCAGGGGGCAGCTCCCTGGGTGCAGAATGAAGGGTATAAAAGTGTATGAGCCCACCAGCCAACCGACCTCGTCCTTCATCTGTTAGTGCACTAAACATTTCTCTAATGAGCTGATGGTCTCAGTGGCTCATTTTAGGAGTTTAGAATACAGCCTGATGTTTTGTAAATTAAAAAAAACACAGAAGCTGTGGATGTTTGGGGGCGGGACTACCTTGTGATTGACAGGTGGCTACTGTAACGCCGTACGTTGTGTCCTCAGGCTCTCAGTCAAATCCACCACTCCCTCAGTAGATCTGCTTTCAGATGACCAAGAGGGTAACGGCCAAACTCTGGGGTTCAGAACAGCAGTCCTCACAGTACTGATGATGTCGTGGTACCAAAAGGACCATTCCAGACGCAAAGTCCAACAATCAGGGCTTTGTGAAGCTGATGTATTCTGATTTTTTTTCCCTGACTATCAACAACAGACGGTAACTAGAGATGTGATATTCGTATAGATGCTGTGTATGCCAGGTTAGAATAAACCAGGAGTTAGTGATGGGCAGATGAGGCCTCATTGGGTGTATGGCACATTTCCCAAACTGTGTCGACACTGTGTTGAAACTGTGTTGCTGTATCACTCAATGGCGACATCTGCTGGATTTAAAAAGTAATTGCAGGCAACTTCAATAAAGACTGGAAACAGACTGAACAAGGTTCATTCACA